CTAATGAGTTTCTGCTGTTGGGTGTGGCCTATTATGCTAATGAGTTCCTGCTGGGTGTGGCCAACTCAGGAGCCAGCCGGAACTCCTTTCCTGTGCGTTCCTGCCCCAAAATAGCCCTGACTATCGTAGAGGTGCCACAGAAAAGATGGAGGGGCTGTTTCTCTGGGAAAGGGCAAAGGTCAGGCAAAGATGTCCCATGACCCTGTTTCAGTTGCTCCACCCTCCACATAGCACAGCACAGCTTTCACTTCTATATCCCACCAAGGAGGAGGAATGACGAACTTCCCTGGAGGAAGACCCATGACATCGGAAGATTTATAACTTTTGAGAACCCCTCCTCCCATCCCAAGCCCCACTCCTCTTTGACAACTTTTGCATGGCCTTGAGAGCCAGTTTGGTGTAGTGGGTAAGAGTGGCGGACTCTGCCCTGTCCCGGATGGCCCAGGGAAGCCCCATCTCATCAGATCTCGAAAGCTAAGCAGGGTCGACTCTGGCAAGTGCTTGGATGGGAGACCTCCATGGAATACCAGAGGCAGGAGATGGGGGCAGGCTTTACTCAGCCACCTCTCTGAATATCCTCCAGACCCCCCGTAGGGGTCAGTCACCAGAGGTCACCATGACTTCTAGGTGTGCATGGATATGCACACACATACACATGCACATATTTTTAAAAATCCAAAAAAATACACTCCCCCCCCAAAAAAAAGAGAGTAGTGGACTCTAATCTGGGACAACTCGGTTTGATTCCCCACTGCTTCACATGCAGCCAGCTGGGTGACCTCAGGTCAATCACAGTTCTCTCAGAGCTGTTATCTCAAGAGCAGCTCTCAGTCAGAGCTCTCTCAGCCCCACCTACCTCACAGGGTGTCTGTTGTGGGGAGGGGAAGGGAAGGAGATCGTAAGCTGCTCTGAGACTCCAATTGAAGGGCAGGGTATAAATCCAGTATCTTCTTCTTCTTCTCCTCCTCCTCCTCCTCCTGAGGTCATATGGGAGAAGAAGATGACCCTTTAGACGCCTGGTCCAGAATATTGAAACACTTTAAAAATCAAAAGCCCCACTTTGAACTGGATCCCAAAAAATCCAGCTCAAAGCTGGTGCAGTTTATTTCAGTGCTGGGATAACTTGCTCCATGCAGCTTGGGAAGTTTTCAAAGGCAGCCCCACCTGGAGCATTGCATTTGTCCCAGCTGGAGGCCACCAGGGCATCGCATGGCTGTGGCCAGATCCTTCAACTGGCAAATCAGCCTTAGCCGGTAAAAGGCACCCCTGGCCACCAACGCCAACTGGACCTCCAGCAGCCCATGCCAGCCGCGAACCAGAGTCTTCAAGGGGAGGGCTGCCTCATCTGGCACAGGCCGAGCACCTAGTCCCAGAACACGTCCCTGGTCAGCAGTCTTCTGTCCGGAGACTAAGCCTCACCAGGTCTGTTCCCATCCAGTCCCACTGTGACCCCAGGCACTGGCTTAGCAGTCCCACTGCTTCCCACGATTCTGATGGAAAGGACAGATCAGCTTTGCTGTGATCCCTCTACTGAGGACATTGGAAGTTCAGACTCTGGGCAAACTCTTGCAAGCTGTTGAATGTAGATGTTAAAGCAGCACGGGATGAATGATCCTTGTGGCACCCCACAAGGTTCAGGCCATTTCCATCTGTTACAATTGAGGGTGTTCTCTGCTGGCAAGGATGAGCCAAGCTTTCGGATGCCCAGCTTGGATCTCCTGCCAACCTAGCAGTTCGAAAGCGAGAAATTGCAAGTAGATAAATAGGTACTGCTTCGGTGGGAAGGTCACAGCGTTCCGTGCGCCTCGATGTTTAGTCATGCCGGCCACATGACCATGGAAATGTCTTCGGACAGCGCTGGCTCTTCGGCTTGGAAACGGGAGAGGAGCACCACCCCCTGGGGCCATGCAGACATCAGCTTTTAGACAGATGGCTGTGACCGACTCCTTTCCTCTTTCCTGCAACAGCCTCTGTCCCCATCGCAACAGCCAAGACGGGGGCCCACCCCATCACCACACGGTGCACCTGGGCTCGACACAAGCCCCCTGCATGCACTGCAGTAAGAAGAAGAGACACCCGCTGCATCGGCAGAGCCGTTCTAAGGAGGGCAAAAGCAAGATGCACCCTGGAGAGACCACTGTCTTCTCTGTCGGCAGGTATTTCTTGGGAGGGACTTGGCTGAACGTTTTGCGGGGATCAGAAAGGAAATGGAGTCCTGAGTTTACTGTTTCAAGGAATTGTCTCTTATTTAGCATGGACAGAAATACGGAAAAGAGGTGATGCACCATAACTACAAAAAAGCCATCAAATACCTTGCAAGGAGGGAATATTCTGCTCCTGGCCTGCTAATGTCCTGACACATGAAACGGGTCACTTTATTCAAATCTCATGCTATGTCCCTTATTTGGGAGCTCCTAGCTCCTCAGACACCAGCTCTCTTCCCTTCCCTCCTTGCTGTTCTACACCACAGTTAGCAGAGGACAATGCTTTTTGGCATGGTTGAAAGCAGGGGTCGTTTCGTAGAAAAAAAGGTGCAGGAACTCATTAGCATAACTCATTAGCATAACTTATTTGCATATACCACAACCCACGGAAGTGTGTCAGAAGGCAACACCCACTGGACTGTTTTGGATTGCTAGCTATTGGGGGGGGGGGGAACGTGCAGATCTGCCCTCACAGAGGAGTGAGAGTTCGTACCTGAATAAAACTTGGTCTTAAAGGTGCCACTGGACTGTTTTGGATTGCTAGCTCAAAGAGGAGGGAGAGCTTGTACCTGAAGGTGTGGGGGGGGCTCTGCAACTTACCTGGCTGCTTCTTGCTCCTCGTGGCCCGATTGAGGGCTGCTGGGAGCAGGGGGAGGGGCTTGTTGTATGTGCCCACCCCCTGGGCTCCTTACTGCCGGAGCTCTGCTCCTGCAGGAAATGACCCCTAGTTGAAAGCCTCTTAAACGAAACACAGCCCATAGGGGTGCACCCTCACAGGCACAGGGTCTGTGCAAAGAGATCTGGCCTTAGTCCTGGTGAGCGGCACTCCCACCGTGTGTTAACTGTACCTGCTCTTACATCTGTGGTAAGGAAAGGTAGTTTGGAAACTGCTTTCTGAACTACATTTGTCAGCTTGAAAACAGGATTAAAGCACGAGCAGAACAACACGGATTTACCAGAATTCATCATAATCACACACTGACTTGATTGAAAAAAAGCGAAGCAAGTGAACAGTTAGCCAGAAACCAACAGCCCGCCAGGCCTAGACTAGCCGGTCTGCATCAAGCTATATTCAGTCTTCCCAGCAAAATCACCCCACCCTCTGTGTAAATTACACTTTTCAAAGCCCACTGACTTCAATGGACTTTTCAAATACCTTTTATTGGCATACAATATTAGAAGCTTTTCCCAATAATACAATCCAAAAGAAATTATAAAATAGATAGTCGTGGCTATGTCAGGCTTAACTCAAGTTGCCACAAGCTAGATTTGACCATACAAAAGATGCCTGAATCATTAAATAAATTGGCATTCTAAACTTTTAAACTTAAGCTTTTAGACGTATAAATTAAGAATCATTAATATGATCAGGGTCACTCTTCCGTTTTATAAAACAATGGACAAACTTAGCGGTCAGTTCAATGATCTCCGGATCTCGTGAAGCAAGGAGAAATTGTACCTTGATTCTATCCGATTGGCCTGCTACCAACCTAAGGGGGGCTTCTATAAACTCCACTCGAAAGTCATTTAACAATTTACAGTGTAAGAGTACGTGCTCAACAGTTTCTATTTCTCTTCTATTACATCCACGGAACCTAACTGAATAAGGAATTTGCTTATATATCCCCTCAAGAATAGCAGAGGGGAGAACATTAAGACGGGCCAACAGATAAGCTCTACACATTTGCGGTGAAGTCAGACAGAAAAAGTAATATGGTAGAGCACCAGAAAGGGGATAGGACTTAAGAAGAGTGTACCCTCTGCTGCGGTGGCTCAAGTGGTTAAGACGCTGAACTGCAGGCTGTGGAAGGTCAGTAGTTCAGCAGTTCAAGACCCGAGTTGCCGCATGACGGAGTGAGCTCCCGTCTCTAGTTCCAGCTCCTGCCAACCTAGCAGTTCGAAAGCAAGAAATTGCAAGTAGATAAATAGGTACCAGTGGGAAGGTAACAGCGTTCCGTGCGCCTTGGTGTTTAGTCATGCCGGCCACATGACCACGGAAACGTCTTCGGACAGCGCTGGCTCTTCGGCTTTGAAACGGAGATGAGCACCGCAACCCTAGAGTCGGATTCGACTGGCTTTCGAGCAAGGGAACCTTTACCTTTACCTTAACCCTCTGCTTAGGCTGCCGCATTAAGAGCGGAGGATCCTGTTTCTCACCTGCCTTCTTCATAAAGCTGTTAAAAATAGACTTGGATACTTCATAAAGAAATAGATACTTAATAAGGAAATGTGAGCTCCAGTTTCCTGGGTATTCATCAGTTTTCTAAGCACTATGTGCACTTGTGTGGGGTGCTGTACATATCTTTTAAACACACATCTGCCATATGCCTGGCTGGCAGGGCAAAATGTTGCAAAGGAGGGTAGGAAACATCTGTGACCTCAGGTGCAGAAGACTAGGGTTGCCAACTGGCCCGTAGCCACAGTGGGGCAGTGAGCCCTTCCACCCCCAAGTCCTGCCCCACCACCTGAGGATGCCGGGCAGCCCCAGAGACCCCCACCCCCCAGTGTGCCTAGCCCAACAGCAGCGGCGAGGCTGGGGAAGGAAAGGAAAGGAAAGCTGCCCTGCTGCTTTGGGTCAGTTTCACTCCTTGAGGGATAGCTGTTAGGTCTAACAGCTGATCGGAGGGGAGTGAAATACAATTCAGGTTTGAATAGGTGCAATTCATGTTTATTTTATTTTATTGTATTATTTGATGTTGTGTCTGCCCCACAAGAAAAAAATATGCCCCACAAGCAAAAATAAATAAATAAATCCTGGTTATGGGCCTAGTTGCCAACCTCAGGCTGGGACCTGGAGATCTCCTGGAATTACAACTGATCTCCAGGCTAAAGAGATCAGTTTCCTTCAGAAAACAATGGCTGCTTCAGAGGGTAGATTCTATGGTATCACAACCTGCTAAGGTTCCTCCCCTCCCCTCCCCTGGCTCCACCCCCAAAATCTCCAGGAATTTCCCAACCTGGACTTGACAACCCCAGTAGAAGACACAGAGGAGGAAGCAGGTAGTAGCCAGTGCAAATTACAATGGCACTAGATGTATCAGAAAGAAAGAAATGTAGATCTGGTGCTTATTTTAGTTTTTCTTACAAAACCTATTAAACTGACAGCAAAAATATTTCAAATATTAAAGAGACTTTGGCTAATTGAAACATGAAATACCCTATTTTTTTTTTTTAAAGCTTATTCTAAATAATTGTATCCCACACGGATTAATGTTGCTTTCAAGGCAGATGCCAAGAGCAAGATTAATAAGAGCAATGAGAATTTTGCAAAAGTTCAACAGCAAGGGGATAAGGATAAGAAAAAAGAGTCCAATAAGTACCAATCGTTTGGCGCAATGGAAGAAATTCAAAATTTAAACAGATCGTATCATTATTATTTTTTTTAGAAAAAACAAGCGTTTTATTAACAAAATCAGGAAGTCAGGACAGAAAAGGGCAGCGATGAGAGAAATCCAGCTCCACAACCAATCAACAAGGCCTTAAAAGCCTTAAAAACAACAGCAAACAACAATCTTGCCCTGGCTTTCGAAGGACAATAGGTGAGGAGTCAGGTGAAATCTCTGTGGAGGGAGCCAGTGGGGCCAAAACTGAAAAGGCTGTGTCTTTGGTGCTGCTCACCCACCTCCCTTCTCAAGGTGAGAGTCCGTCCTCACAGCAGGGTCTCTGGCATGGAGCTCAGGTGATGGGCAGGATCCTACGGGAGTCTTGCAGTCTCCGGAGCTCAAGTCATCTAGCGTCAAAGCAATAAGAAGGAGCACAATGAACTGTAACCAGATGCAATTCACCAGCCAGTACAGACCTTTTAAATCTGGTGAGCTGCATTCCTGATCAGTGGCAGCTGACTTCAACGGAGGTTGGTGAGGCAGAGAACTGGGTGGTCAGTGGTAGGAGGGGCTACAGCCAGGCAGTCACTCCCCAACAGGAGGGAGGGAGCAGGAGTGACAGCTCATTGTTCAGCCTCCCCAAGTAGCTGCTGATGTGGCATATGCTGAGAACCAGCCCCAGAAAAGCCCAGTCTTCAATAAAACTTTTAAGTCGCTACTGAAAACAAGCCCTGCCAAGTCCCCAGCTAGTTCTTTAAGCCAGTTTGGTATAGTGGTGAAGTGCGTGGACTCTAATCTGGGAGAACCGGGTTTGATTCCCCACGCCTCCACCTGCAGCTGCTGGATGACCTTGGGCAAGCCATACTTCTGTCAGAGCTGTCCTTGAAAAAGAGGAGTTTCTGTCAGAGCTCTCTCAGCCCCACCTGCCTCACAGGATGTCTGTGGTGGGGAAGGGAAAGGAGTTTGTAAGCCACTCTGAGACTCTGAGTGAAGGGCGGGGTATAAATCCAATCTCTTCTTCTTCTTCTTAAGCAAGACTACTTGCTTGCCTGTGCAGAGACAAGACAGAGATTGACGTAGGGCTAGGGACGCCAGGCCGCTGCCTGGCACCTCTGGGGAAATTTTAGGGATGGGGAGAGGTACCCCAGCAGATGTCACTTCCAGCAAAAAACGGATGGTGTCAGGGGGAAGCTCCAGGATTCACCAAGCATCTGTGGTTATACCATAAAGCCTGTGGCAAATCCTACTATGCCCCCTCCCCCCGGGTGTCATGATGACAATACTGGGATGCCCCCGGTTTCCACCCCGCTTGCCAGGAAGCCTACTGAGGGCCAAATGACATGTTACCTGTCAGTGATGTGAGTTGAGTCAGGGTCCTGTCCCAACTGTCCTTTTTGTGGACAGACGTGAGCAGGGCTCTTTTTGTAGAAAAAGCCCAGCAGGAACTCATTAGCATAATAGGCCACACCCAACAGCAGAAACTCATTAGCATATTAGGCAACACCCCTGACAGCACAGCTCATTAGCACATTAGGCCACACCCCCAAGTTAGCAGACACTCATTAGCATATTGGGCCACACCCCTGACAGTACCACTCATTAGCATATACCAGAAGTGTGGTCATCCAGCCACACCCACCTTTTGCTTCTTATTCTGTTCACCTTGTTTGTTGTCCAAACCCAGGGCCTTTTTTTGTAGCAGGAACTCCTTTGCATGTTAGGCCACACACCCCTAATGTAACCAATCCTAATGAGTTTCTGTTGTTGGGTGTGGCCTATTATGCTAATGAGTTCCTGCTGGGCATGGCCAACTCGGGAGCCAGCCGGAACTCCGTTCCTGTGCGTTCCTGCCCAAAAATAGCCCTGGACGTGACATTGGGGAACTAGTATAGTTTCCAGCCTTCTGGTGGGGCCTGGGGATCTCCTGGAATTAGAGCTCATCTTCAGACTACAGAGATCAGTTCCACCGGAGAGAAGGGCCGTTTGGAGGGTGGTTTGTATGCCATTATGCCTCACTGAGGAAGATGAAATCCCTGGGTTGGGTGGACTGGCACAGTCTGGGTGTTTCACGCTTTCCCACGTGGGCATGGACCCCATTCAGATCATATCCTTTCCTTTTATCTAATAAAGGCTCTATGATAAATGGATCTTGAGCAGTGAATAGTTGTCGTTAATCACTTATCACCCAATAGATAAAAGAAGTTTTTTTAAAAAACCCATTGCAACTGCTAGAGTTCTTTTTGTGTCCCTGTCAGCAAGTAGATATGTAACTAAGTCATACCAATATACATCAGAATGAGCTTGCAAACACGGTGAAATATAACGCCTCCTGAGATTAGCATACAAAGGACACTCCATAGGAATGTGTGCAGTCATGTCCATCTTATCTAAGAGACAGAGGAAGATTCGTTCTGAGTAAGGTAAATGTATGAACTGCCTCATAACTGCCGAAATGTACTGCCGAAATGTATGAACTGCCTCATAACTGCCGAGGAGTGAGGCCAATTCAGATCAGGGTCATCGTAGGTGGAGAGAGAGGGTTTAAACCTTAAGCCCACTCCATTTTCTTGATCTGAAATGGCCCCAGGGGAGCTGCCGCTTTCTCTGTTGTGGAACATACATGCAGCTTATTAGTACATAAGAACATAAGAGATGCCGATGTTGGATCAGGCCAAAGGCCCATCCAGTCCAACACTCTGTATCACACAGTGGCCAGAAATACCAGTGCCATCAGGAGGTCCACCAGTAGGGCCAGGACATTAGAAGCCCTCCCACTGTTGCCCCCCCCAAGCACCAAGATGACAGAGCATCACTTGCCCCAGAGTCCCTATCTATCCCTTGTGGCTAATAGCCACTGATGGACCTCTGCTCCATATGCTTATCTAATTCCCTTTTGAAGCCGTCCATGCTTGTAGCCGCCACCACTTCCTGTGGCAGTGAATTCCACGTGTTAATCACTCTTTGGGTGAAGAAGTAAATATTAGGTTAACTCAAGCAGCTCCCTGAGGCTGTTTTACATTTTAAAAAATGAAGTGGGAGCTGGGTGCTTAATTTGCTCTCTAATCTGAATTGGGCACACACATATCCAGGAAGCACAGAAGTCTCAGGCCATGTCTGTCGACCCATCCCAAGGGATGCACATCAAGGAAGTGTACCGTGTAGATGGGTCTCTAGGCTGCCTCAGCATCTGTTTCTCAGGAGACCCGGCAACCCTAATCAGTGAAGGTCCTTATAGGATGACCTGTAGATTGTTCTGGCTTTTATTTTTTCGTCCTAGATTCCATGTCACCCACATTGGGAAGAAGCCTGCTTCCCATGACTCAAAGGAAGATTCCCTTCCTGATAGCAAGCAAGATCTTGGCTCTCGTGACTTAGACCGTGAGACTTGGAAGGGGTCTCTGAACGGAATAGTTCCCATGGATCAACTTCAGCATGGAAGCTCCCAGGAGGCAGCAGGTGCTCAGAGTGACAGAGAACCAGAGGAAGCCTGTAAAGATGAGTCCACTCAAGGAAAGAATCTCTTGAACGCAGCAGCCAATTTAGATGTTCCCAAGAACGGACTGGAGAGGAAAAACCACCCTAAGACAGGTTCACTGCAAGAGATAGACCTTCTAGGTACTGCCACAAGCAACGCATGTGACCAAATGTTTTTGTGTCCTGCAGAGCTGTTTGTCTCAGAAGACCTGGACAAGATGGGGAGGCTGGCTAAGAAAGCTCCTCCCTCTGAGAATGAGGGTGTTCAAAGGGCAGCTAACGACATATCAGGAAATGAAAGGAGTCAAGTTCTTCGAGGAGGATCTAGTCTAGATATATCTGGAAATGAGGTCAATAGAACACAGAACATAGAGCAACAGGTAGATACTGTTATATTCTTTCTTCCCTTGTTCTTAAGAGTTCCCAATTTTTCTTTCTTTGTGCCAGGTCTTAGAGAAATGAACATGAAAAGCAAAAAACACCGATACACCAAGTATTGGTCTGATATCAGTCCAAACAGCCTGTCCAAATCCATCCAGTGTTTAGATGCTGCTGAATGAGCTGTGGATTGTATCTCACAAGTTCTCTGGAGAGGGGAAGAGGAAGATAAACTGTCATTGGATAATTACTTATGTATGTCTGTTGGGAAATGAATTCTGAGAGCGAAGCTAACTACAGAGAATTAGCCAGCAAGGTTTAATGAAAAAGAAAAGCAGGAGGAGATATCAGTGCAGGGATTGGCCAGAGCAGAGAAGTCAGTGGAGAATATTAGGGCTATGATATCAAGACAGGAAGGCCTGGCGGGATCTGGTCCATGGGGTCGCAAAGAGTCGGACTCGACTGTGCGACTGAACAACAAAAAGCATAGATTCCCCAGTATCTAGTGTCATAGATATTAAATTTATTGAACGTAAAAAAATTACAGACATGTAAAGATACAGCTGTAAGAGGGAGACCCAAAACAGATGGCATGCAGCAGGGATGTTAAAAGATAGCAAGCGGAAATGAAGGAACATCTCACTGGTTGCTCAATGCTGAAAGCAGGCAGGCCAGCTGGGAGGCAGATCTACGCATTAGTCATTGGGGTGAGGTCTGAGGAAGAAATCGGGGGAGGTCAGACGGACAGAGGAAGCACTTTGCAGAAGAAAGTTTGGCTAAAAGTTGTTCAAATCTACAAGGCCCCTTTCAGGATCAGAGGACCACACCCCCATTTTAGAAATCACAGCCATTTTGTTACTAGATGGTTGGGGGGGGGGAGAGAATGTATAAAATTTATATTTGAAATGGCAGAAATCTAAAATTCCAGAGACGTAGCCATGTTCGTGAAATTCAACAGACATCCAGCGGCACCCTAAAGACTAGCAAAAAGTGTTCCAGTGGGCCCTTTGGTGTGGAAGAGAGCTCTCTCTCTCACAAAAACTGATGGCAAAAAATACATTTTGTTAGCCTTTGAAGAAATTAATTGTATACTGTGTGAAATAAGGCATCAGTATCTGGCACATAATTATCATGAGAAATTGATTGCTTCGTGGTGCTTACAGAATATTATGAGGTAGCGAAAATGAATTTGCCTTGACGAACCAACCTTGCTTCCTTTCTTTGACAGAAAGTGCCCGAGGGACATCCACCCAGGGTTATTTCAGTGCCCTCCCCTCCTTTGGGGGCTTTTTAATAGTCCCCCCCCAAAAAAATCTTCTGAGATGGGCCTTGCCCTGCTTCCTGGTAGGGCTGGCCCTGATAGACAAAGTGGCCCATCTGATTCAACTGGCTTGCCTGGCTGCAATTTCAAGATGCGTTGCTCTGGCACTGGAAGCCCCTTTTCTACCCCCTAAGGCCACAGAAGAGGGGACTAATTAACTCCTGATTGTCCAGCTCTTTCAGGGCTTCCTGTGGCACCACACCCCTCTTTCCCTCTGAGCAGCCCACCACCCCGCCCCCCAGTCAATTAGCAGAGCAAAAGATCTCGCGGCAGCTTCCTTGGAGCCCATCCAGTCCTGGGGAGGCGGACGTCCTGGCGGAGTGACTGGGATGCCCTCTATGAAGAGAGATCCAGGTGTGCAGCCGTGTTGGTCTGAAGCAACAGGACAAAGTCAGAGTCCAGTGGCACCTTTAAGGCCAATGAAGTTTAATCCTGGGTATCGGCTTTCGTGTGCCTGCATTGTGTGTGTTCATGTATCTGAGAAAGTAGGCGTGCACACGAAAGCCATACCCAGGATGAAGGTTTCTTGGCCTTAAAGGTGCCACTGGACTCAAACTTAGGATGCCCTCTCTCTTGTTGCCGTTGGAGGTCCAGGGCCTCCTTTCCATGCCAGCTGCCAATGTGATCTTTTCTCTGCCTGTTTCTCACCCTTGTTCTCCCAGGAGCAGAGCTCGACAGCGCAAGACCCAGGAGTATCTGTGTGACGTAAGTGCCTTGCTCTCGCTGTCAACAGCAGGGACTAGGAGTGGGGGATTGGGTGCCTAAATAATCTGCTCTCTGGGCTTTGTGGCGGGAGGGGACTGCTGACTGGCAACCCTGGACATGCAAATGGGGATCCCCTCTGCTCTCAGGACATGAATGGTTTGTCACACATTGCTTCTGCATGGTCAGTATTGGACATCAGAGCTCCCTGATCCCAGTTACTCTGAGGGGCAAGCAAACGCCTCACTAGTGGAACTGACTTCCTTGGGAGGTGGTGGGCTCTCTGTCTTTGGGCTTTCCTAGCGCTTTTTTTCTTTTTCTTTTGAAAAGAGGTGATGGAACTCTCAAGAGGGAAATGAAGTTTTCAATCTGTATATCGAAAACTCATGAACTTTTAAACATTTTAAAAAGAATTTTGTCAAAAGAGGTTCCAGAACGCTGTTCTGGTGCGTTCCTCCAGAAAAGAAGCCCTGGTTTTATATGTCATTCTATGGTCACACACACTAAATAATTCACTTTCGATCCACTTTCCAACTGGATTCCGCCAGTTCACACAGTAAGATCCAGTTGGGAAGTGCGCTGGAAGTGGATTGAAAGTGGATTATTTAGCGTGAGTGACCGCAGCCTTGGACTGGTGGCAACAAAGAGGAAACACGCTTTGACATGCCAGCAAACACACACCACGCATGTGAGAACACACAGGCCCAGGGTGGGATTGTGAACTGGCTTGCACTGATAGCGTAAGAAGCAATTTTGCATCTAATTTTGCACAACACGCATGTGAGAACACACAGGCCCGGGGTGGGATTGTGACCCGGCTTGCACTGATAGCGTAAGAAGCACCTTTGCGTCTAATTCCATCCGTGCCCTCTTTCGACCTCCCCTCCTCCCCGTTTTCTCTTCCAGAGTGAGGCTGCTCCAAGATAAGGCCGCCATGCAGACAGATGCGCCAGGGGCCTTCTCCTCCTCCAGGGCTGCCCAGAATGAGTCCACTGGATCCACAGAAAGCAACGCAGAGCCTGGCCTGGCCTGGCCCAGAAGAGCTCCGGCGCACTTGACATCGCCACAACAGCACAAGAACGTGTTGCTTCAAAAAAAAAAAATCACTTCTCTTCTTCTTCTTCTACTTCTTCTTCTTCCAGAGTGAGGCTGCTCCAGGTTAAGGCCGCCATGCAGACAGATGTGCCAGGGGCCTCCTCCTCCTCCAGGGCTGCCCAGAATGAGTCCGCTGGATCCACAGAAAGCAATGCAGAGCCTGGCCTGGTCCAGAAGAGCTCCGGTGCACTTGACATCGCCAAAACAGCACAAGAACTGTTGCTTCAAAAAAAAAAAATCACTTGTCAAGAGCCTCATCTTCCCCCCCCATCTCAGTGCCCCAGCAGGACTGGAAAGCCCAGCTCCCCCGTACAGCAGCCTTGCTAAGGCTCACATCAGTGCAACATCCCACAGAAGGTCTGACCTCCTGGCCCAAGAAAGCAGTTTCATCTCCTGGCCACCACTGCTGCCCCTCTGTAACTTCCGTTCCCTTTTAGAACAGTCCTGGGTGACCCGGCCCTGCAGTGCTTTGGGGCCATTTGCTGTCTGGTGGGCCCCCGTTGTGAAAGGCAGCTGCCCTGTACTGCCGTCTCTGCAATATGCTCCTGCATGCCGGCCAGGCTGAGCCAACTATTCAGCATTAGAAACACAGCTGCTGCTTAGAGACGTCGGCCAGTGCAGGTGGAGTGAGTGGCCACAGGGGAAAGGATGCGCTCCTGCCACCCCCGGCCTGTAGTTCTGACTGGCCTTGGGAGATCAAGGTCGTGTGAGTACCCACAGTGCCCCACCCCAGCCTGGGCTGTGCTGGGCTGGCAGTAAAGGCCTGGCTTCGATAACAGAGGGGGAGTCAGGACGTTCTCAACTTCTGCCCACAGAAATGGGCAGCGCTGCCATTCCAACTCGGGCACTGCAGTTGCTTATTGTGCAAGTCTGGCATCTGCTAGCGTAGGAAAGCCCCTTCCTGTGGACCGCAATAATTAAAGACACCCTCCAGAGAAGGATCTGTTAGCCATACCCCCCACCCCACCCCCTGGGAGCAGCCAAGGAGCACCTGGCTCTGAACACTCCACCTATACGCTCAGCTTGGGAGTCTGCTCATGTTCCCAAGCAAGGAGAGGGGCCTCCTCCTGGCAACCTCAGGGTGGACAGCCTTGTGCAGAGGGGCTTTTATTCCTACGAATGGAGACTTGCATCTCCCCAGCTAAGCTCCCCAGAGGCCTCCCTTCTCCGTTCCTGCTCCAACTGAGGCCCTGGCAAGCCACCAGCCAAGGCCCCCTTCTTTTTCTCCTCCCTCATCCTTTCCCATATTGAACCACCATGTAAACAAAACCAAAACGAAACACATTAAAGCTGCTGAAGACATGGCTTGAGTGAGGTCTCTTTATTGGGCAACGGACAACACGGCAATTCCTCTGTCAACGCCACACAGAAGGCAGCTCGCTCTGCAGGGGACCGCAAAGAACTAATGGCGGAACGAGAGAAGGAGCACTTCGTACTCTGTGTTCTGATGGGAAAAGGCACACCGGTGGCCCCGACAGGCGAAGGGAAGACACAGGTGAAGTTAGCTAGCAGCATTGAAGGCTGAGGGAGAGACCAGCTCCCGCCCCAGAGAGGGAAAATGCTTGCATAGCCTCAGCTGGGGTCCAGGGAGACTTTTGGCGCAGGACAGGGTGTGCCATCTCTAGGTGCTGGCCCGCAGGACTTGGTAACAGTGCAAGCAGAGACACTCTTTGGGCACCTCCTTCTGTGCTGCAGAAGTGGTCCCCAGGGCTGCTGGGGAGAGGGGCAGCGTGCAGGCAATGTGCCTTTTGGCACCCTCGTCCCACCATCATCTGGCCTCCTTGCAAGGGTCTGGAATGAGGCTCTAGAGTGGCCACACAGCAGAGCATCTAAGAGGTCTCGTCAGAAGAAACAGCTGGAGGTGGGGGTACTGTGGCACCCAAGGACCCAAAGCTGTCCTAAGCAGTCAGGCCTCCTCTGGGAGCTTATCAGAGTTAACCACGGCCAGGCGATGAGTCGGCTTCTGGGGCCTTCAGCGGTGGAGGGGGGGGAGCCCGAACCTGAAAGAAGAAAGAAGGAAAGGCAGAGGTGGTGACGTAAGTTAAGAAGGCTCCAGGGGAAGACACACTATGCAGAATGACAGGCTATTATGCCAATGCCCGCATTCTCCACCAAAACCTGTTACCCAGAATGGTCTAATATTTAATTGATTAGAGGAATTTTGATAAGCAAGAGGGGGTAACTTAGGATCAGCATCTTTGTATACTTTCCCCAAGAGAAAGCTTAGATAAAAAGGTAGGTGTCCAACTCGTAAGGATTTTATTGAAAATAAAGTAAGCTAAAGTAATGAAATGTTGAACATGCATTCAAACACACTGAAAAATCACACACACTACTAAGAGGGAGATAAAAGGGATGGACAGGAATACAGAGGATATTTCTGATGGGTGATATTTACCAATATTGAAGCTTCAGATGTAGAAGGCGCTTGGTGTGAGGTTGGCGTGTGTGTGTGCGCAAATGCACACGCACACACACACTGCAATTGGCAGTGTGCCTGTATTTATACCCAAAAATGATACCTGAGGATATGCTGATGTGGTTACATCAAAGGAATAATAGTGTTGATATGTTTATAGGAAGGATTCCAGGAACACGGAGAAATGGCTAATAGCTCTCCCAGAGGCAGATCAAAGACTTTGGCAGAGTTTGATTATTTTCCCAGAGCTGACAATATATGTGGATGCCCCTCGATATGTAGGATGAAGGGGAACTTCCAGGTGTTGTAATGCTAAGTGGGCAAATGGAGTAAGCAAGATGGGGATAAAAGAAGGTGGGATGCTGCTTTCCTGAGAGATTCCAATGTTGTAGAATATACATTATTTTAGGATGGATGAGGACTATTATCAAGCCAGCCTCCTCTGATGAACTTCCAGATACTTTCCCCCAGGCTGTGCCTGCCATTCATTGTCCTAGGCCAGGGTTATGAGACAGATTTAATTTCTATCTGGAGTGATTTTTATGTGAAGGGTGTATGGCATCACTTCCTATTGGAAAACCAGCTGCCCCTCTGTGAGATGGCACTGACTGGTAACAATGTGAGGGGACGTGAGAAGCAGCTCTGGCTGTTCTTCAGGGCACAAGATAATCAAGGCCGGACTGGAAAAGACAGAGCAGGAAGCTGTTCCTGTACTCTGTGGGTAGAGGCCAAATTGGCCTTTGCAGGGAGTTTCTTTCCTCTCCCGTTTTTTTTCTGGGGGAACGACCCCATGGAAGAAAAGGCTGAGAAACCCCCAGAGGGGAAAGGGCTCAGCTGCGTCTCCTTGCTCTGCTTGGGGCCAAACTAAACGCGACGGTGAACTCATGGCCGCCAAGAGGACACGCCACCATTTTAAAGTGCCACGAGGGTCCAATCCTGATTGGGACTGCAGCATGAAGGTCTCCCTCCTGCCACAGGCCCACGGCTGTTTTGACATTTGAAAAGGTGCTGGGGGTGGGGGAGGAGAGAGCTCTGCGCCACGGACTCCCATGAGGACACCACCACATTTACTTTGGCCCGTGGACATGCAGTCTGCACAGTGCTGCTCTGGTTAAAACAAAACAAAACAAAAGGCAGAAGAGAGAATCACATAACTGTATGCAATGCCTGGTGTGGCCCTCAGTAATGCATTTTCTCCAACAGTGGTGAAAAGAATAAAAAAGGGATGCTCAGCAGCCTCCGTTTTTTCCGTCTGTGGGAGGGATGAAGCCCACCCCAAACCACCGGAAGGCACCGGCAACTCTGAGAATGCTTCCTGCTGCAACAGCCCCACCCCCTTTACTCCGCAAGACCACAACCAGCTGCCCCTCTGTGAGATGGCACTGATTGGTAACAACGTGAGGGGACGTGAGAAGCAGCTCTGGCTGTTCTTCAGGGCACAAGATCATCAAGGCCGGACTGGAAAAGACAGAACAGGAAGCTGTTCCTGTACTCTGTGGGTAGAGGCCAAATTGGCCTTTGCAGGGAGTTTCTTTCCTCTCCCGTTTTTTTTCTGGGGGAACGACCCCATGGAAGAAAAGGCTGAGAAACCCCCAGAGGGGAAAGGGCTCAGCTGCGTCTCCTTGCTCTGCTCGGGGCCAAACTAAACGTGATGGTGAACTCATGGCCGCCCAGAGGACACGCCACCATTTTAAAGTGCCACGAGGGTCCAATCCTGATTGGGACTGCAGCATGAAGGTCTCCCTCTGGTGTGGCCCTCAGTAATGCATTTTCTCCAACAGTGGTGAAAAGAATAAAAAAGGGATGCTCAGCAGCCTCCGTTTTTTCCGTCTGTGGGAGGGATGAAGCCCACCCCAAACCACCGGAAGGCACCGGCAACTCTGAGAATGCTTCCTGCTGCAACAGCCCCACCCCCTTTACTCCGCAAGACCACATCTCAACAAGAAAAGCAGTCAACTGCCCCGGGGGCCCACCAAGCAGCAGCTTTCCCCAGCTTTCACCACCATCATCTGTATTTCCATGTCTTGTGCAAAACAAGACCAGGCAAGATTGATTTGTGCATAAAACCTTGTTGTTGTTGTTCAGTCGCACAGTCAAGTTCGCCTCTTCGCGGCCCCATGGACCACATCACGCTAGGTCCTCCTGTCTTCCGTCGAGCTCCGGA